CTTGTTGAATGATAATGAATGGTTGTACTGATGTTGGTGATGAAAGGTTCGTGTAGAGAATTTGCATTTGTAACAATAGTTACTTCTCTAATTAGTGTCCATAAAAAAAGCCAACACTAGCAGTAGTATATTTTTCTCGTTCATGAAAGAAAATGGAGGTATTTTTGGGGAAATGGTTACTTCTCTTCGGGATAAGCTGTGCACGCATTTCGAAATTATATAATAACTTTTCCGTTTCATGAAAATTAATGTTTTAGTTTTTTCACATAAATTAAAAAATAATTAATTGTAAATTATTAATTTATTACTTTTTAAATATTAAATATTTTTAATACATATTAATTAATAGTAATTCAGAATTTAAATATTTTTAATTAATGTTTCTTGAAGTTTGCAAAAAATATTATTTAATAATCTAAAATATCAATCTTTATAGAAAAAAAAAAATTCAAAACATCAATCTTCATGAAACGGAGAAAGTACGACGGTAAACGAAATATATTGGTTACCTCAAAGATAAAACAATGACAAAAATATGCTTTTATCAGATTCTGCAATTAATGTGCTTTCGTAATCGGATCAACATGCACTTTGACAAATCGTCAAGAAAATTTCCCTTATTTGGATTGAATCATTCAATTTCATGCAGTTATGGTTTCTTTTAGTTAAGTCTCTATAATCTTATTATCATCCAATTTTATTGTACATAATAATAAATCAAGTGTATGTTTGTTTATACATTGACGCTACTATAAAAAAAAATGATTCTTAAAATTCACATAAATGATGGAGGACACGATATCAATTTTAAAAACATAATATAATAACATATATACTAACCTATAATTTATTGATATTTTTTATAAACCGTAAAAATTTCGAACTTATCATTGGTTCATAATTTTTTTGATATCCAGAATAAGCTTTAATAACTAAACTTATTCTTTAATTTACTCATTATTTGTTTTGTGTCCGATCTAAAAAGTGAAATACTCATCATTTAAAAACAAAAATACTAGATAACATAAATTTTTTTTCATCAAAATAATAAACTAATTTACCACATTTCGGTTATCCAAATAGCTTGTGATGGATTTACATAAAAAATATCAGAAGTAGCTAATCGAACACCATTCGCAAGCA